GCAGGAATCCCAGTTCTGTATCAAAGGACAGAGTGCAGTTAGAAATTCAGGGTGAAGGAAGACAACATCTGGTTTTTTGGGTGTGCCTTGCTGCTGCTTGGTTCTCCATAACAGGAGAAAATCACATTTCAAAGAATTTTATTCAGTTTATACAAATACGGTTAATTTTGGTTTTTTTTTCTTCTTCTCAGGAAAAGTTCTTGTCCATGGGAATGCAGGGATTTCTAGAAGGTAGGAAATGAACCATCCTGATATTAATATTTAAACAATGGAAAGGTATTTTACTAATTTTTATTTGTTTTGGTTTTTTTTCAGTGCTGCCTTAGTTATTGCATACATAATGGAAACATTTGGGGTGAAGTACAGGTAAGAACTATTCAGGTTTTAATTCAGGTGGTGTGAGTGGATGTTGATTTTGGAGGGAACAGAAACTGTTGTGTTTTCACTCAGTCTCATGCCTTACCTAAGGCTTTACCAGGAGCTGATTATTCCATTTTCCTTCACTGCAGTTGTGTTTACACCCTTTTTTTATAAGAATCAGGCACCTGCTGCTCAGGGAATGAGGGCACCAGCCTCCATCCATGGATAAAACCTTGGGAGAGCCCCAGGGGCTGTTCTGAGCCCGTGTTGGACAGGAAAGTGAGCTGAGCGCTGGGGTGGGCAAACAGAATTGTGCAGCTGCTGCTTCCTGCTTTGGCCAAGCAATTTCAGTTGTAAAAACCAGTTCTGGGGAGAGTTTAGAGATTCTGTAGTGCTGAAAAACTGATAATCTGAAGGAAGACTCAAACCACAGAGACTTCTATATATTTTTCATTGAAGTGTTTTTTTCTCTTTTTTAAGGGATGCATTTACTTACGTCCAAGAAAGAAGATTCTGTATTAATCCTAATGCTGGATTTGTCCATCAACTTCAGGTGACTTTTAATTCTTGATCATAACTGAAAAGCTATTTAATGAATCATCTTCCTGCCAAACAGCTATTTATACAAATATGCTTCAAGGAAATGTCAGGAGCTGGAGGAAAGCTTGGGAGGAAGATGAGTGGGCACTTTCAGTTCCTTAGAGTTAAGCTTTGGACAAAGCAAATCCAGGAAAATAAATAAAAATCCTGTTTTGTGCAGTGATTAAGAGGCTTTGAAATGTCTTGGTTGGTGCTGAAGGAACTGCAAAGGAACTGTTATTTGATCATTAAAGCCATTTCTTTAGTCATTCTGGAATTTTTCTTTCCCTGACTTCCTGATGGTTTTTGCATTCGTGTCAAAGCAACAAAGAATTCTCCTTCTCCCAAATCTGTGCCTGAATATGAGATGCTCCCTGAATTGGTCCTGCTCATCCTTAAAAAGCTTTTTGCCAAAGTAATTCCAATCAACATTTTTGGACCTTTCCAGGAATATGAAGCCATCTATCTAGCAAAATTAACCATTCAGATGATGTCACCTCTGCAGCTGGAGAGATCCCTCTCAGTCCCACCTGGCAGCACAGGTGAGAAGCTTCTCCTGCTGGGTGGGGGTGTGAGGGGATTTTTAAGCAAACCTTTAGCAGCAGATCCCAAACTCTTGGGAAGGGTTTTTGGTGTGCAAGCTGAGTTTAAACCTCAGTGTGAAGTGTTTAAATGTCCTGGTTTGCCGTGGCTGAAGTTCCCTCTTGCCTCCTGCAGGAAGTTTGAAGAGGATGCACGAGGAGGATGAAGATCTTGGCACCATGCAGGTGGCAGCAGCACAGAATGGCTGATGGCTGAGGACAAGCACTGGTTGTAGTGAGAATTCCTGCCAAGAAAGGTGAAGAAAACTAGGGAGAAAAAAAAAACACACACAAAAAAAACAAAACAAGAATTAATGCAAAACAATGAACACACATAGCTTCTTTTCAAATTACATGTTGCTTTCAGATGTAAATCTGCCTCTGCAACACACTAAGCATCATTTTTAAGATGTTGGACTTCTTGAATGAATAGATGGCACTGATTGTTTTACTCCTTTTTTACACTTTACAGTTTATTCTAAACCAAGATTTTTGGACTTGCAAAGAGGTATTATTGCAATAATGCACTTTTCATACTTGAAATTTCTTTATTTGTATGATATAAAGTTATTACTTTAAACAAAATGCAAGCGGGGGGGGATTTGTTTATAAAGTTATTTGTGTAATTTATAACAAGAGACTTTAGTAAAGAAGAAGTTTGCTAAAATTCACCTTGTTCTCAGTATGTATTATGGCAGAAATGTGCTTTAGGAACATAAGCATATAGAGGTTAATTCAAGTTGAACTATCCAGAACATCCTCAAACTGATTTTCAAGGAGTAGTTGCTGTTGCAAGGCAGTAGTGGCATCATTTGAAGTAAAAATTGGATTTGTCTTTGAAAACTGGGGCCCAGGGCACTGCCCATAATGGGATCAAGACTTAAAGGATTCACCTCAGCTCTGGTAAAACCTCAGACTCAGCTAAGAAAACACTTCTTGGTGCTTTGAGGTTTTCAGACTGGGGATTGTGCATCTGTAACTCTCCTGCCTCAGCAGCACAGAGGTTGTGCAAGCACAGCCCTGGTTCTGCATCTGCTTTATTTCCCAATGTTTGTTGCCTAAAAGGCAGGGCTGGAATGATTTGGGAGCACTGTGGTGACTGAGTAAGGCTATTTGAAAAGTGTGTGTTTGGGAAGTCTGAGCTTGGTTCACAGTGAAGACTTGTGTTTTAACAGGGAAAAAATGGCCTCAGGATTTGGGGATCAGAGCATCCAGCAGCACATTCCTGTTCCTGCTGATACCCTCTGCCACCTACAGCAGGGATGGAGCAGCATAATTCCTTCAGGGAGAAAAAAAATCTGCAATAAATAATGTGATGCTTTAGTTAGGAACTTTTCAACCAGAAAAAAGTGATTTCTCTCCTGGAGAACTGCACTGTGTCAGTGTCCAGTGCTGGTTTGCAGTTGCAGAGGGTTTATTCCTGCTCTGAATTTAACCCTCCATAAAGGAATGCTCTGGGGCTCTTGGGAAATGCATTCCCAGCCTTTGGAGCACGAGGCTCCCACATGGCAGCAGTGGGGCTGTGCCTGGCCCTGCACAGCCCCAGACACTGCCAGGCAGCAGCTGCTGCTGGGGCTGGGCTGGGAAGCATCAAATCCCTCTCCAGTTCTGGTCCCTGGGGAAGGGGAGGGATGGAGCACAGATGGAAGGCACTGATTCATCTCCAGGCTCGTCCATGTCTGTCTGTTCTCTCTGGGGTCCTGGGAACACTCCCCTCCTGCTGACAAGCTCCATGACTAAGGATTTTTCATCAATCCAGTTTTTTTTCCCGGCATTACCCCCTCCTGGTGCCTTTTACAGTCATTCTGGTCTGTCTGCCTGTCAGATCCTAGGGGATTCTGAGATTTAATTTTCCTCAGATCTATTACTAAGCCATCTATTTAAAGCTTCCCATGTCTGTCTGCTGTAGTTTCACTGCCAGGAGGGGTTTGTTTCAGTATTTGGTTTTGGGAGCTGAACTAAAGGCAGGAATTGGAAGCAAGGTCCCTCACTGTGGACTGGAAAGAGAAGTGGAGTGAATTGTTATTTATATTTCCAGGTTTAAACACAAATCTGCAACACCCAAGATCTTTGGGAATCCACAGTTCTTCATTGAGGTGCTGAAATTGCCTTTTCCAGCTTAGGGGAAGCAGAGTGAAGGAGCTGGAGATCTCTTCCTCAGGGTGGCAAAGGTCTCAGCCAAAAAATTAAATTGCAGGGAGGAGGTAACATTCAACCTCTGGAGAAGCTGGTAGTGCTGTTAGGGCTGGTTCTGACAAAAAAAAAGTGTTCCAGACAAGGCTGGACAAGGCTTGGAGCAAACTGGGATAGTGGAAGTGGCCCTGTCCATGGCAGGGGGTGGAATGCGATGAGCTTTGAGGTCCCTTCCAGCACAAACCAGTCTGGGATTCTCCACTATTAATCAACTATATGTCCAAATACTGTAATTTTTATATCTATATTATTTGTATGGTTATATATATTTATATAAATAAATATAAAGAGATTTATATAGCTATATATAATTATATGAATCTGAAACAGAGGTACCCAGATGCCTCTGTGGTGCAGGGAAAAGACATTTATGAAAGGTTTGGTGTTTGCCTGAAGGAGGTCATATTTTATACATAGTCTCTCTATATTTGTATGTATATATATAAAGAATGTATACATTATGAATGTCACATATAGGTTTTATATATACATAAAATAGATATCCATATATAGATTTTATATATTATACATACTTATGTCTGTTTTAGATCTATTTTTTTGTATACATAATAAATACACAGGTGCCCTTACTCTTCCCCCTTCAGCCCTTTGCACTGTGGATAAATTTCAGGGCTGCTGCAGTTCCTGTTTCCCTCCCCCGGGGCCATGCAGAGCTGGCACTTGTGGCATTGTCCCTGTTCCTGTGGTGGCCCAGTGGCACCTCCAGGTCCCCAGGCTGGGCACTGGCAGCTCTCCAGCTGCTGTTTGTCCAGAGGGGTGGGAATGGCACCTCTGGGATGAACAAAGAGCTCTTCAGGCGCCCCGAGGGGGCTGTGCCGGCAGGGCCATTGTGCTGCAGCCACAAACCCCAGCTTTCAACCCCATTCATCTGCCTGACAATGGTCTGAGCAGGGCCACAGCACCTGCTCCTCACTCTGATCTTCTCATTAACTCTTAAGGAGGGCCTGGGGCTCTTTAGACGGTGTAGATACTATAGAATTCAAATAATCCATTTTCAGTCTTGGAAATTCTGAATTAGAACTGTGAAAGGCAAGAAAATCCACCTCAGTCGCTTGGGCCAGCAGAAAGCAGGAGCTGCTTTACAGAATGAGTCAGGGCTTGAACCATGCAGATGCTGTCAGAGGAGCACATATGCTTTCTCTTGGGACAGAAATCCACATGGAACTGCTAGAAGTGTTCTTTTCAGCCTAGGGAAGGGGAACAGGTAACTGCAGCAGGTGCTGCTGCTCAACAAGCACATCCTCACTCCATGAAAAACAGTCCAGATACAGGTGGCAATCATTTATTCAGCTTAAACAAAGATATTCTTTAAAAAAATAATCAATAAATAAAGCAGACATCACCAAGGAGACACTGGATGGAGTGGAGAACCCTCAGGAAGATCAAGCAGAGCCCCCAGCACTGTAGAGTCGCTCTCCAGAGCACAAAGCAGGACAGTGTGGAAGGCCTGGCTGCCCACAAACAACCCTGGCTGGGTACAATGCCCTATTCATGGCTGTGGGATTTGTCACTCCCCACACAAAACACCACTGTTGGCAGCAGGCCTTTGGACGTTCTTTGCTTTTCACCCCTGGCAGAAGTGCTAAAATCATTGATCCAATCTTGCAGCACCAGGGAAGCTCCACAGCAGCACCAGAAGCAGCAATTCCTTGGGTGAGGAAGGGGGGAAATTTCTCTCCTGGTTTGCTGTGCCACAGGTGGAAATCCCTCCTGGCCCTCTGGAGATCCAGTGGCTGGGCCAGGGGTGTTCAGTAAATCCCAGAATAGTTTGGGTTGGAAGGGACCTTAAACTCATCTCATTCCAACAGGAACACCTTCCACTATCCCAAGCTGCTCCAGCCTGGCCTTGGACACTTCCAGGGATTCAGGGACAGCCACAGCTTCTCTGGGCACCTGTGCCAGGGCCTGCCCACCTTCACAGGCAGGAATTCCATCCCAATAGCCCATCCATCCCTGCCCTCTGGCATTGGGAACCACTCTGTGTCCTGCCCATACAAAAGTTCCTCTCCCTCCTTTTTAGGCCCTGGAAGTGGCTGTAAGGCTTTTCTGGGCTGAGCACCCCCAGCTCCCTCAGGTGAAGCTGAATCTAACATCCCACTCCCCTTCCCAGTGATTATTAACCAGAACCCCACTCCCTATGGGATACATTCCAGTTTCCCAGTTACCCTCTGCCCTGTTGGGACACCACGTTTGGGGTTTTTATGTCAGAAAAAAAAAAGTAATTATCCTGAAAACTAAGTTATCAGCTAAAGTGCAGGAGCCCTGCAGTGAGAAGCACACATCCATTTTCAGACTGGGAATTCAGCACAGCCTGCAAGGATTCTCCCCAACCTGCACCAACAGTAACAAACCCAGTCTTGGAAAACAGTGCCCAGAAAACTTCTGATGCATCACCAGCACTTCCATGAGGTGTCATGGAAAAAAACAGAACTAAGGCCTGTTCTGTGTCACTAATTCTGCATAAGAGAAGCCTCATCCCTTCCCCAGCTACATCATCCTTCCATCAGCACAGCCAGGACAGTCCCAGGGGCTGTCCTTTGGCTACTGAGAAAAGAAGCACAAACCTTTAGAAAAATACAATGCAAGAAAAAATTTGAGATAAAAATATATACCTTTGGTTAAAAACCATCCCTTTAACGAGTCCTTTGTAACTCAGCTAGAACAGAAAAGCTTCACCTCGACTCAACAGTAGTAAAAATTAGTTCTAAACTTATTTTCTAATCCAGAGGACTCTTTCTAAAACCTCAGTAATTTTTTTCCCAAGATTTACACATTTGATGGTCATTATTTATAGGGATTGTTGTATCTGCAGCAATAGACTATAGAAATTTTCCACGGAGAGAATGTTTGTAGCACAAGCTCCTCCACCAAAGTCTTTCCAAGAAAATAAAAGAACCCAGAACACCTAGAAGTTAATTAAAGAACCGTTGAAACATGTAGTTTTCATCAGATACCAAATAGCCAAACTTCTTGTAGAAATCCACATTTTTGGGCAGACACTCCAGTGTGATTTTGTAACAGTTCAGTCTCTTACTTAGCAAGGTGAGGGTGGACGTTAATCTGGAAAAGACAAAAAAAACAGCAGTTAAATGCTGGGTCAGTGAATATCTAATGAGTTACATTACCACAGCCACAACACTGAGGGCTGACAGCACTCTCTGTTTTCCTGCAGATCATTTTATGCCCAGCTGGTGATCCCTGCTGGCTGAATTCTCCCCAGGTGCTTGGCAGGAAGGTGTGAGGTGTAAAGGGCTTGCTGAATGGCAAAGGTGGGGAATACTCACAGTTTTCCAAGCTGCTTCCCTCTGCACTCCCCGCTGACCACCACATCTTCTATCCTGCCTCTCTGAAAATACAGGCAAGTGTTTGTTAGCCTTGGAATTGCCCTTCCAGCTCCCTGTGTTCACAGCCTGGCTGGGACTCCCAGCACAGAGATCTGCAGCCATCTGCTCTGTCAGAACCACGTCTGACTCCTTCCAGAGCTCACTGGCACAATGGGACAGATCTCCAAGTGCTCCTTTTCCTTAGCAAAAGCCAAAGCTTCCTTTTACTATCAGCTCAGCACTCAAGGATGTGATATATTTTTAAAATACACAAAATACTTGACCTTTTTAAAAGTATATTTTAAAAATATTTACATATTTAAGGCTGGAAAAGCCCTTCAAGACCATCGAGCCCAACTGCTCCCCAGCACTGCCAAGGCCACCACTGACCCGTGTCCCCAATTGCCACATCTACATGGCTTTTAAATCCCTGCAGGGATGGAGACTCCACCATTTCCCTGGGCAGCCTGTAAAGGGCTGGACCACCTTTTCCACAAGGAAATTTTTCCCAATATCCAACCTAAACCTCCCCAATACAACCCGAGGTTGTCACCACACAATAACACCATAAAACCAACACGCCCAGAGTCAGAGCCAGGATCTTTTCCTCCCTCCCCAGCTGCAGGATTTACCTTGGCACAGGAGTGAGTGAATTTATGTTCTATAACCAGCGTTGCCGTAGCAACGATCTGCCCCAGGTTGGTGTCTTCCACTACGGTGACATAGTAATCTCCAGACCTCTTCATGTGCTCAAAGGTTTCTGTGGAACAGGCAATTCAGGCTCACAGTAAACTGCAGTTAAATCTGATATCTGCAGCAGTCTCTGACTGCAAATCACTGTGGGATCATAGGGACGACGCACCCAAGACTCCAGCAAATGAATGCCCCAGAGTCAGACTAACCCATGAAAAAGCAGGAATTACAGAAATTCCTTTTCCTTATTTTCCCAGAGAACCTTCCTTGCTGAGCAGATGGGTGCTACAATATCAAATCATGGAATGTTCTGGGCTGGAAGGATTTTAAAAGCTCATCTCATTCCACTCCCTTCCATGGGCAGGGACACCTACTATGCCAGGCTGCTCCAAGCCCTGTCCAACCTGGCCTGGAACACTGCCAGGGATCCAGGGGCAGCCACAGCTTCTCTGGGCACCTGTGCCAGGGCCTGCCCACCCTCACAGGGAAGAATTTCATGGAAAGGGTTGTTCAGCCCTGGCCCAGGATGCCTGGGGCTGTGGTGAAGTCCCCATCCCTGGAGGGATTAAAAAGCTGTGTGGATATGACACCTGTGGACATGGATTAGTGGTTTGGCTTAGATCCTGTGATTCCCTGAACTACCTCCCCACTGCCTGTCTGGCCTGGGAGTAGCATTTAAAGGGGATCTGAAGTAGGTTCAAAAAGAGCTGGAGAGGGATTTTGGTCAAGGGCCTGGAGGGACAGCACCAGGGGGATGGCTTCCCACTGCCAGAGGGCAAGGGTGGATGGGATATTGGGCAGAAATTCTTCCCTGAGAAGGTGATGAGGGGCTGGCGGGTTGTCCAGGGAAGCTGTGGCTGCCCCATCCTGGAGAGCATTCCAGTCCAGGTTGGAGAAACGTGGAGCAACCCAAATAATCCATGCTACCAGCTATCTAAAGCTCAGTCTAAAAACCAGTTTCACAATTTAGGCAGCGATTTAAGCAGCCCTTGGGGATAGCTGCAGCTGGATGCAAGGCTGAGTGCCAAGGGGAGCTGAACTCATCCCTCCCTCTGGCATCAGGCCCTCAGGAGCCTCACACCTGAGCAGCTTTGCTTTGATTCCCTGCAAGCCCTGTGGAAAAGCCAAGGAATGATGAGGTACTCACTGATGAATTGCTCCGGGCTCACAACTCCTGCTTCTGTCAGCTGACCCAGAACCTTAAAAAAGCCTGGCAGGAAAGGAGGGGGGAAAACAACTCTCAGTGAGGGACAGACACACAACCAGCTCCAAACAGCAAGAACAATCCAACACAGCTGTTTGGAGAGGGACCATCCCCATAGCCCCATCTCATCAGAACAGGATGGAATGCTGCTGAAGGACTGGCTAAAGCTCAAGTGAGCCTGGAATAATGAGTCCAAAGCAACCTTTTTTTAGCCAAATTCCAGAACTGAAGGAGAATTAATGCACCAAGATGCTTATTCATGTTGTTTTGGTATCAAAGGGTACAGTATGAACAACTGTGCTCCCTCTTCAAAACCATGGTGAATGGGAACTTGTGGATTTGGAAGATCTTACTTGAATTTTAGGATTAAAACAGTAAACCAGATTTTCAGGGTCACCCAATACAGCACCAATCCATGATGCCAGAAGCTCAAATTTAGGGACATGGCCACAGCCCCAAGGCTACCAGAGCCCAAGGGATGATAGGACAAGGCACAGGTGGCATTGTTGGGGTGTTCTGTGCAAGTTCAGGGGTTGGACTGAATGATTCCTGTGGGTCTCTGGCAAGTCAGGATGTTCTAAAATTCCATCAGATTGTTTACTGATAAATATGAGAAAAACTGAGCAATCCCAATCTACTGAGAGCTCCTACAGAAACACAAGATACCAACTCAGCACGGCAGTGTCATTTCTGGCAATAATAAAGCAGGATTCTACCTCGATTTAAATCAGCTGTGCAAAGTGGTCTCAGGACCAGTCCATCCCCTGGATCCAGTGGAGAAATAGCAGGAGAAAAGGTCGTGGTGTTCTCACTCCAGTCGAGTTCCTGCAGGATGCTGGGGTCAAACATGGGTGTGTCATCGGGCATCACGGTGGCCACGGGCATCATGGCTGCAAACAGAGATCTGGAATGGAACGAACGGGTAAGGCATGGTTTAATCTCTAAATAAGTTGTTCCCCCTGTAGCATGCCATGGAATTTTCCTCAGGGATTTCCAGGAAGGTGGATACACTGCTGTTCACTTTATCTGCTCAGCCTTCACCTGCCAGGTTAACAGAGTTTGTCCAGCCGGGCACGGCACACGTCAGCCGGAGCCAACACACGGAGTTCGTGTGTTTATCCTGGAAAAGCCCAGCATGATAAGGTTCCGAGGAGGGCATTTAACCTCTACAGCCCTCTGGCAAGGAAAGCATCACTCTCAAGAAACCTCCCAACAACCCGTCCAGCCATCATCTGCACTCCTGTTCCATTTCAAACCTGCCGTGGGAATAATGCTCTTTTTTCCGAGCAGCCCCACCCCACAGATATTTAATCTCTCGGGCACAAGGTGCCACATCCCAGAGCAGGTGATGGCACAGCCAGAGCCCAGCCTGTCTCTCCTGTTTGCTCTGGGTGTTTGCAGAGCCCAGCTGCCAAGCACAGCCCCACAGTGTCCGTGAAACAGGGCCAAGGTGACAGAGAGACACCTGTTAATGATTGAAGAGATGGGGTTGTTCTGGGTGACAAAGGGAGGTATTTTCCTTATTGCCTTCAAGGCTGGATGGGCTTGGAGCCACCTGGGATAGCAGAAGGTGTCCCGCCCATGAGATGGGCTTTAAAGTCCTTCCAACCTGGAATTCTATAATAAAGAAAAATAATTCTTACTCTGTCCCCTGTAGAATACCTGGTCAGGGTTCTGGTATGAGCAGAGCTCATGAAAACTTCTAGTTTCTTTATAAATCTTCAGATTGCCTTAGCTGCACCATGAACGATACAGTCACACACTAGTGGTCAGGTCAAATAAACAGGAGAAAGAAAAAAGTGTTTGGGATGACACTTTTTAAAATAAGACACCTCACAGCCCAGAGAAAGAACAGAATGTTTGCTGTGAAGCATCACAGTGTAATGAGCCTCAAAAGTGAAAGTGGCTCCAGAAACCCAACTGAAATTTCTTAACTAAAAAAAAAGCAACACAAAATCTTTTTTATGCCACCTGCTGGTACACACTGGCCTTTGAATTCCAGCTCTCATCTTCATTTTGCACATAAAAGTAAAAATATTTGCTGTTACAGCAATTAAACAGCAACACAAACTCTCATCCCGTGTGAATTTTCAAAATGAAACAGCGGGAAAGATGAATTGCAAAGATAAACATTCCCACAGATTTCTCTGTTCCTACAGCACATATAGTCCAATGTCAACCTTCCTCTGTCCCCCAGAATTCCCAAGTGTCCATATCAACATTCAAACAGTGTCTGTACAGAATAAAGCAGACCTCAAGCTCCAGCTCAGGGTTACAGCACGCCAAGGGAAAAGCACAAAGAGAAAATAAAATTTTTGATGCTCTATGAGCAATTAGTGACCAACGAAGAGTCACTTTCCCAACTACTTCCGGCACAGCTGGAGCAGGATGGAGTTGTAAGCCATGCTCATTTTCTGGAGAGAGGAATATGACTTACAATAATGTCAATTAAAAATAAGAAAAAAGGATTAAGGCACAGGAAAGGAGAGCTCAGGCCTGTGGGTCACCCTGTTCCCCACATGTGTTGGGAGCAGGGACCCCTCAAGCTGAGCTGCCATCCTGGGGGACCCAGTTTTGGGGGACAGGGTGACAGAGCCCAGCCCTCCAGTTTTGGGGGACAGGGTGACAGAGCCCAGCCCTCCAGTTTTGGGGACGGGGTGACAGAGCCCAGCCCTCCAGTTTTGGGGACAGGGTGACAGAGCCCAGCCCCCCCAGTTTTGGGGGACAGGGTGACAGAGCCCAGCCCTCCAGTTTTGGGGGACAGGGTGACAGAGCCCAGCCCCCCAGTTTTGGGGGACAGGGTGACAGAGCCCAGCCCCCCAGTTTTGGGGACAGGGTGACAGAGCCCAGCCCCCCAGTTTTGGGGGACAAGGTGACAGAGCCCAGCCCCCCCAGTTTTGGGGACAGGGTGACAGAGCCCAGCCCTCCAGTTTTGGGGGACAGGGTGACAGAGCCCAGCCCCACAGTTTTGGGGGACAGGGTGACAGAGCCCAGCCCCCCAGTTTTGGGGACAGGGTGACAGAGCCCAGCCCCACAGTTTTGGGGACGGGGTGACAGAGCCCAGCCCCCCCAGTTTTGGGGGACAGGGTGACAGAGCCCAGCTGTGTCCCTGGAGCATCCCCACGGCTTTCCTCAGCTGAAGCAGCCCCGTGGGACAGACCAGCCTCCCGAGGGGCTCCCCGCACCTCACACATCCCCAGCCCTTTGTGGGGGGGGTCTCCACACCTCACACAGAACCTCGGGGGGTCCCACACGCCCTCACCCCACACACGGCCTCTGCCCTACAGCTCCCTCGGGGGCAGGACCCTTCCCCAAACCAACCTCTCAGAGGGGACCCCTCAACTCACATATCCCCGTCTGAGGGCACCCCCTCACCTCACACACACACACACACAACACACAGAGACCTTCGGGACGGTCATATCAACCCCGCACACACGCGCAGCCC